CTGGACAAGCATACCATTGGTCTCTCTGGGTCTCTTTATCTCGATCCCTAGCGGCGACTGAGGCAGCACCGGAGCTCGGACCGTGCTAACCCAGACACTGCCTGGTAAGCCCAGGGCAGCAGGACCGCGGAAAACCCCGGCCCCGGAGGGGACAGCTAGCCGGGGTCCCGGGGGGCCGGGGAGGGATGGGGGACAGCCACAAGTGACCCCCGAGAGCCGCACACAAGTTAACATCACAACTGTGAGGACCACATATGTCCTTCTGAACTTCAACTTTCATAACCTCAAAGCATATCCTTAATGACCAAAAGCATCCTTCTGAATTTTGCAAAACCATTAATTCTGCTGAGTGCTCAAAAGTTAATTGGAATATGAGAAGTGAAAATAATTTCCCTGTCCAGCGAGTGGTGGGCAACCTAGAATGGCCTGGGGCTATTTGTGGACACAGTTTAGTGATGGGCTTGGCTGTGCTGGGGGAATGGCTGTGTTCAAGGATCTTAGAGGGCTTTTCCAACCTTAGTGATTCCCTGATTCTGTGATTCTACTGCCATCCTGTGTCACTTGGTGCAGGTCCTGTAACAAGCATAGCCATTCTGCTGCTCCTTATCTTTAAGGACCTGTCCAGAAGGAACTGAGCATTTCATTCAACACAAAGAGCTCTCAGTTTCCCCCTGTGGCACCAGCCCCTAGCAAGAAGTTGCTCATAGTTCTGGGCAAGAGAGTGGGAATTTTGTAAAAGGGCAGCTCTTCCCATTCCCTGGGAGTGCAAATCCTGGTATAGATCCTTCCATTGATGAAAACATAACCATCATATTATGCTTTGTTCTGTGTTTGCTTTGGCCACACTGAGACTTCAGTCCCTAAAATTCCTGCTCTCTCCTGCAGTGGTTGTGTATGCACAGCCCCAGTAACTGTCCCACAAGCTTCCCCTCCATCCTGGCCCCTGTGTGGTTGGAAGCAGAGACCCACGGGCTTCACCTGGAATCACAAAGAGCAGCATGGCAGCTTGGAGCAGCCTTCCCTCTGAGAGCCGCCTGGCTAATGAGCTGTGACACGGACAAGTCTCCCTGTCTGCAGTAAACCCTGGGCAAGCCACTGCCAGAGCCAATTCCAGACTCTGGGGTTTGTGGATAACCTTGTCACAGGCTGGTTGTTCTGCTTATTTGGGTTTTGACACTGGCTGTCCTGGCACACGGTGACATTGACGGCAGCAATGCTGTGCCTCACCACCCTCACAACAAAGAATCTCTTCCTAATATCTGATCCAAACTTGCCCTCTGTCACTTGGGAGAGCTGCTTGGATTTCAAGCAAATGGGGAGTTTTGGTGTGTTTGAGGGGAGGAAAAAAAAAAAAAAAAAAAAAAAAAAGCATTTCTGGAGGTGGCAGAGGTACATTCTGTCTCTGTCTTTCCCTTATCTCAGATGATCTCTAAGGTTTGTTCCAACTCTAACAATTCCATGATTCTGAGGTCCCTTTAGCAGGGAAAATTCTGATTTTTAACAAACACTTAGCTCTCCGTATTTGGAAGATGTGTATATTATATGCAGGACTGGCAGGGCTAGCCAACATTTTCCTTTAAAAAACAAAAGCAGAGAGGAAACTGGGTTCCAAGTGCAATGAATGTTCATTTGAGTGTTGTTTCCAGGAGAAATGCTGACATTTTCATCAAAATAGCCATTTAAAATGTGCTTTGCATTGCAAAGGAAGCTGATTTGGGTTTCTATGAAGAATTAGGTATTTATTTATGCTATCTTCTAGGTCCTGTGTTCTAAACATAGTATTTTCACAAGCTGCAGTTGAAGTCCTTTATGGGTCTTTAATCCTTCATTTCTGCAGAAGTGGTCTTCTCCCAACTCACACAAGGTCCCAGAGCTCTTCCTGTGATTTCCTTGTGCGGTTTCCTAGAGTTCATTTTGTACTAGATGTGTTTGAATTCCCCAGGAATGTATTGTTCCACCTTAGCAGTTAGAACTGCATGGGGTGTCCATGGCGTACCCACCTCATCTCTCATACTCCATTAAATATGTGTAAGGGTCTAAGAGAGTGGCACAAGTGTATGATACTGATTAGTTTTTCCCCATAAGCTTTTGCCCTGAGGGAAAGTTCCCTCAGCCCCAGGACCTGCCATTTCCCTGGGAGTGCAGTTCAGATCTCCAGGGTAAAATGCCACACACGTGGCTTGGCCTGAAAATCTTGCTAAAGGCATCACCTTCACTGTGGAGGGTTGTTAATTGGTTTGATAACACCAACCTCACTGTTTGGGAATAGCCAGATTCTCCTTGATGTTGCTCTGGAAGAGCCTCTACAAAGGCTCTTCTGATACTTCCCAGAGCAACACTAGAGGAAGAACAGAGGGTGAAGGAAAGCTTAGTAGGTATTTAGATAACTCACCCCCAGCCACACTCCCGTGGCTGAGCTAGAGCTTGGTATTCCCACCACATGCCTCAGTCACTGGAGATCCAGGGCTGAGCTTCAGTAGCTGGGGCTGAGTAGACCCCAAGTGGAGGGGCTGGTCTGGGCCACCAAGGTTTATTAGTGCTCTCAGGGCCCTGACAGGGATGAGAAGAGACTCCTTGACAGCAGTTTTGGGATTAGTAGCTCCCTGACTGGAAGCTTTGGGTGAGGAGGGAGGATTGTGAAGTGAGATATGAACTCATCTGTTCCACAGGGAACAAGGAGGAATTAGCAAGTTTGGATGTTTAACCCGTCACTTCACTGGAGAAGTTGCTTCTGCTTTTCCAAAAGTACTCCCTTGAAAAGCTTTCCAAATTGGGCAGCCAAGAGCAAAGCCACCCAGAGCTACCAGTTGCTTTGGAAAGCTGGCACTGTATTGGAAAATGCTACACTAACCTGTCAAGTCACACTGGGCAGTACAAAATGCTTCCTGGAGCTGTTGTTTGTGCATGGTCCTGTGTGCTCATGTGCGTTTCCTCAGTTACTTTTGCATTACCCTTATGACTGTTGCTATTAATTACTGAAAAAAGGAAGAGCCTGATTATGTCAGGACAGAGAGGTGAAGGAGAACTCCAAATTGCACAAAGCCATTCTCCCTTCTCTTGAAGGCAGACTGTAAAGTCTAGGTGGCTTTTCCCCAGCTTCCATGTCTTCCTTACATGTGTAGCTGAGAACCTTAAAAATGGAATATAAGAGAAGACAGAACACAGCCCTCTTGGAGAGAAGGGAATGACATGAACTATTAATGACATCTCCCTCTGATCTGATGTGACAGCAGAACACTCTTAAGCACTGTCTCCCAAAACCAAGTATAGGTAAAATGTCTGCTTCCATCTCCCCCAGCCTGTCCCCTCCAGCTACAGCTGAGATATGCCTGCAATTCACCAACTGTGTCATGTCTGGCAAAAGGGTCTGTTCTCAAAACTGTCTAAGACCGTTGGAAATGAACTTCAGTAATGGCTCAAAACGTGAAAACTCAGCTCTTCTGCCTGCTCATTTCAGGCTGGCAAGTCAAGAGAAAGCCAATGCGGTGAACGCTGCTGAAGCCTTTTGCCAAAGCACGGGCAATTGTGCCCACAGTCTCCCCCCATCTGGCATCCCGGCTGGTGCAGATGCCTCGTTGAGCAGGTGCCGGCGTTCAAGGTGCTGCTGTGCCTGAGCACACTCTGGTGCTGTTTCTGTGGGGTCCAGAGCCACCAGGGCAGCAGTGCCTCCGCAGCCCTGCTCCAGGAGACGTGGCCACCCTCCCCATGGTGGCCGCAGCTCTGCGGGCCCAGAGCTCTCTGTCAGGGGGGCCTCAGTCACAGCACCTGGCCTGGGCAGCCGCGAGGGCCCGGGCTGGCAGCCAGCCCTGCCTCTGCCCCCTGCCCCTTATTGGCAGCAGCCAGAGGCCATGCCCTGGCAGTGCCCCCCTGCCCTCCCTGTCCCCAGCCAGCCCAGCCTGGGCACCTCGGGGGTCTCCCCACCCTCTTGCTGGGGTGCTGTCCTGGCATTGAGGGCTTCTGCCGCAGGCCTGGGAGACGTTTTGAGGAAGCGCCAGAGCAGCTGGGAGCTGGGAACAAAGTGGCTGCCTGGGGGCTGCTTGTGGCCTCTGACACCCAATTGCTCAGGGCTTCCCACTGCCCCAGTCCCTCCGGGTCTCCCCCAGCCCGGCCAACCTGCCCGGCAGCGGCGCTGCAGCCCCACAGGAGCTCCAGAGGAGCCCCACCAAGAGGCACCTCAGAGCCCTCAACCATCCAGCCAGCAACACACGGGCAGGAGGACACGGATGGCGCTTCCTGCCTGGGACAGGGCTTGTGGCCATCTCCAGGCACCGCTCTCGCAGGGATCCCTGCAGCTCTGGCCTTGCCCACGCGCTCTGTGGGCAGCAAAAGGCTTCAGCAGAGCCACCAAAGGCCAAGGGGCTTGTGGCCATTTTCCCTGCAACCCTGCCTGCCTGGGCACCTTGCTGAGCACAAGCACTCTTCCCCCACTTCCTTGATGCCCTGTGGACACTGGGCAGCAAAAGAAAGATTCGTGTACCTCTGTGCATGACAACAGTGATTTCATATTTCCATGCTGAGATGAGGTCTTCCCTGCAGCTCAGGTTCCCTGAGCAGACAGAGCTCCTGGGATTAGTTGTTCATAGACTTCCACAAGCTGCCACATAGAGGAGGCTTCCTACCCCCCACTCTCCTGGAAGTGGTCTTGCACCTTCTGTGTTTCCTTCTGCAGAGAAGGCAGGTGACCTGGTTCCAAGGGACAGCACGGCAGCCCAGCCTCGCCCGGGCCACTCAGGCCACAGACATACACTGACACCAATGTGGTGGATGGTCAAATGGCATTTATTACCTTATCCTGTGAGGTTAAATAGTCAAGGGGGCTTTGCTACGTCAAAGGAAGAAGGTAGGGTCTCTAGGGTTAGTAAGGGGTGGAAAACTACTGAGTTAGGAGG